GGGGTTGGGGATACTGGGGATTTGGGGAGGAAATGGGGGAAATTGGAAGAATAAGGTGAATGGGAATATAGCCAACCCATCCCAACTGCCCACATCATGGAAACACAGAGCCAGTAAGTTTGGAACAGATCTTTGAGATCACCCATTCCAACCCCAACCCATCCCACCGTGCTGTCTGACCAAGCCATGGAAGCACAGGATGACGAAGGCTACAGGAGCTCAGACCAACAAGGGACAATATTTTGGGATCTGCATTTGGGATTTCAGCAGAATTCACCGCTCTCAAAGTTCACTCCTGTGCCGTCGAATCAAAGCATGCTGCTATAAATCATTAATGCACTCCCGCGTCGCGACGAGGCCGGAACGTTTTAATTGCTGAATAATGAAGCTAACACTCACAAATCTCAACTGCCTCCTTCTGCGGGAGAGGAAAGCTTGAGACTGGACAGGACCTACGGCTGGGGGGCCACCAGGAGGGACTGTTTGTTGCAAGAAGTGTTTGTGCGAGCAGCAGGATGGTCACCTCTGGAGCTTGGGACCAAAGAGAAGACCCCGAGCACACTGAACCAGCATGGCTAATCCTATTCCTCATTGATTTTCCTGAAGGATGCTCAGGGAGAAGCTGGGCTCTCCTTACACTACGTGCCCCAGCCTGAGTGACCACATGAGGATCCCAAATGGATACAGCAATGGTAACACCCTCTCCCTCTCCTCCAGAGCTGAAGTCAAGCCATGACAACCACGCAAAGCCCCAGTCCAGCACCCAAGGCCCCACCAGAAGCATTGTTCCAGATTTGTCTGGGCTTCCAATAAAACCCTGACAGCATCCCATGCTCGGGGGAGTGCAGAATCTCACAACCTACCCCGGCTGCATGCAAGTACAGCAGCACTGCGTGTGTTCAGCAGACCCACAGAGATGTGGCAGATAGCAGAGGATTATCTGGGTTAGCCAGGGAGAGAGGAGCTGCAGAGAGATTGCACTGCTAACAGAAACCCATCTTGCTGCAAGGGAAACGTCGTGTTGATAAATGGAAGCTCTGCGTGCACTGCAAGGATCCCCTGACCTCCTCCTGTGTATGGCCAAATCCACTGTGATCTGTGAGCAGGCTGGAAGAAGCTCCTGTGTCACCAGACTAAATAGCAGCAACCGGGGGATGCTCTGAGAGCAAACGACGTCGGGTTCGATGTGCAGTGGGTGAATGTGCCAAGGAGAGCAATGCTGTGGAGTGGTGGCATATGGCCACGGCTTCCGTGGGCAAAAAAATAGGAGGATTTGCATGTCAGAGAGAGGCATGGCCATGCCTGACAGCAGGCTGGGCACTGCTAGAGGGGCAGGGATTATCTCTGCAGGCAGCTGGAGTCCCACGGCACGGCTCTGCTCACCTGACTGCAGCCAGGAGGAGAGCAAGCTCCGTCTCTTGGAGGACGCCTCCATCTCTCACAACAAGCTGAGGGGTGAAGCTCCCATCTACCTGAAAAATAAGAGAAATAACACATTTATTGGCATCTATCTCACGCTCATAAGGGGGATGCGCACCAGGCCATCCCACCTGTCCCCTCCCCACCTTGTTTACAAGAGGCTCTGGGAAGCACAGAGAACCCCAGAGCAGGCTTCATGACAAATACTGTGTGACCCACGGGGGCTCTCCAGCCCCATTCCCTTTGAAAACAGCGATCCAATGGTGGCACACGTCAGTGCTAGCTCAGTTCACCAGGTGTGCCTGAGCCTGATTAGAAGGCAGGATGCATTTCCTGCTCGGAGGAATCACAAACGGAGCAGGGGAGGCAAAGTGGAAGCCGTGTGCTACAGCCGGCTGGAGATGCAAGAGAAGCAATTACTGCTTTAGCACAGGGCATGAGGAAGCACTGGGACTCTCAGCAACAAGGCAGCGGACTGCAGGCAGATTAGAGGCATTAAGTGCTGCTGGAGAGGTGACCGAGCCCTCTCCATTAGCCAGCCAACCCCTTCATTACAAAAGGTTACGGAGCCCGTCTCCCAGGGACTCACTCTGCTCTCTGCAACTGATATTGAGCGCTCCTGCCACCACCACCCCTTGGGCTGGGTGTTAAAAATAATCAATAAAGCAGCTGATCCCAGAACACGGGGTTTGCACGCCATGGCACTGGGGGCTGTGCCACGCTGCAGCACCCTGCCTGCCTGTGGGCGCTGGGTTGGGACAGTGGTGCAGAAAGCAGGTGCCAGCTTAACCCTAAGTGCCACCAATTAACACACGAGGATGAACAAACCCACCTCCCTCATTAATTGGTGTGGTTGAAGAACCATTGGACGGTGCTCACCAGGGTGACCTCACGCTTCAGCCTGACCGGAGCGCAGGGTGCCAGCCTCACTGCTTCACCCCATCAGGGTGTTTTAGCCCCTCCAGCTCCAGGCTCTTCTTTATGCAGCGATTCGCAGGGCCTGGGGCTGAGCTTCAGCCTGGCAGGAGCTGAAGGAGCACAGTGCAGCAGGGCTGGCTCTCGGCGGAGCAGACACCTGTCCGCTGGCACTACTCAAGACCTTGAGCACCATCTCCTGGTCATTCCTGATTTCAGTGGGAGGGACACTTCCTCCTTTCCGCTGTCACAGCAAAGCCCTGGGGACAAACCGCATTTCTTGCTGTTTGCTTTCACTCTTGGAGCTGGAACGGGAACGACCGACTATCACGCTGTCACAAAAACCTCCTGGAAAACTTCAATCTGTTCATCCTCTGCGCTGCGCGATGAAGCAGGCGCTGCTCACCGCAGGGCTGTGGCAGGGATCGCCGCTCCGTATGTAAATGTTGCAGCGGCAGAGTTCAACCTTTTGGCATTAGGGAAAGGAAGATAAATGCTACCGGTCCCCTCCGAGCTGCAGGAACTCTGCATCTATCTAATTGCACTTCATAATGGATTCAGCAAACCATTAATTATCAGATTATATTTTAGGAAACTGCAGATTAAAAAAAAAAAAAAAAAAGACTTGGTGAAATTTTAGTCTTAAAGGGGCCAGTGTGCTGCAATGAATGTTGCATCCTCCCAGCACCGAAGAAGCTTTACAGCAGGTACATGAATGCACTCTGCAAAGCAACATCCCACGTGCTGCCCTCAGACACAAATAGCTTTGTTAGTGCCTTATGAATCTCTACAAACCTTTTCAGTCCTTGCTGCACATCATTTCTTTTGTCAGGGTCCTATATACTGTGGTGCTTTCCCCAAAATACAAATAAACATCCCAAACCTGAACCTCCCTTTTCAGAGCAGCATGCCTAGGTATGGCTCTGGAACCAGTCCAGTGCACACCAGGTGCCACGAATGAGCACCCATTGCTCACTCTCACTTGGTTTCTTCACAAATCAGAGTGACTTTGTCATCAAACAAATCCTCCACAGACACTGTCACCAGCTCCGAACCAGCTTGGCTTGCTTGGGATTCAGGCAACGTCACAAAGACTTGGGAGCCAGTGAGCTGGGCCTCATCAAAAGAGATGATGTGTTCTGCTGCTCCTTGCTCTGACGTCTGAATCACCTGTGTGCAAGATGAACTGAGTCAGACACTGCACTGCTTTCCTTGTGGTCGCTTTGCTATGCACATCTTTCCTAGCCCAGCTCCTGTAGTAACATTCAGCTTCACACCAGAGGACTGCAATTACAATAGGCTTGAGGCTAATGGTAAACTCCAAAGCTCCAAATATCAGTGATGCAAAAGAGAAAATGGAAGAACCATTTAAATATTTACCTCCATAAAATTGCTATAATTTAGCTCCATAAGCAGTCATAGACGATAAAGATACTATGATTACACACTAGAGGAATGGCAGCCCAGGAAATCCCACATACTGGGCTCCTTCATGCAAGGAGCTAATCTCCACTGATGGCTGAAATATTACATTTGTCACTGGGAACTGCAGTCTGCAAGAAAGCAAGCAAGGAGGGGAAGGACTGAATGATGGTGGTGGGAATCCAGGTGGGTTGAGGTCTTTGCCCTATCCTACTCAGACTGCAAGTGTTGCAGCATCTTCCTTGAGCCCTCCTGCAAGCCAGCCTTGCACTAGCACAGAGCACTCCAACCCTAGAGCACTGTTGGCTCAAAGGCTTATGTCCTGGATGCCTCTAATCAAGAGTGCAGAAAGAGGTGACCACAAAGTGGATTTGGGAAAGAACAAGAGGGTTGAAAGGGGAGGGCTGCAAAACAGAGCAGTCTCTACCTGTACAATCTGGGCTGTGGTGGTTTGGGCCTCTGTGAAGATGACCTTGGGATGCTCGGCGCTGCAGTGCTCCTCCAGCTCACCCTGGGAGGTGAAGAGCTCCCCGCAGAGCCCACAGGTGAAGGTGCTCTGTGCCTGCTTGAAGTGCTCGGTGGTGACATGGTGCTGCAGGGCCCCTGGGAAGCAGAAGGAGGCTGAGCAGTACAAGCAGTGAAATGGTTCTGACCCTGGGGAAAATGCACCACTCTGAGCCTGGGGTGCAATGGCCAGGGCCAGCCTGAGGACACAGGGAGCTGCAAATGACCGAGATGTGCAGGGCTGAAACCCACTGGGGACTTACTGCATGGGCTCAGTTCCTTGTTTCCTCATGCTGATCTCTCTTAACCTGTACTTAGCTCTCTTAACTCTCTGTCCAGTACTACAGGACACCACTAAACCCCAAGTAATGTGAGTAACAGCAGAGGTAACACACCTGAGTGCTGGCACTTCACGTGGACCTGCAGGAGAGCCAGTGTGGGAAACTGCTCCTTGCACATCTCACAGTCATGGAACTTCACACCTGCAAACAAGATCACGAAGAGAAAAGTGTGCACTACAAGAGACAGTGCTTCTGGAGCAGGGCTTTGTTAACACTTCAGCAATACATCTGCATACAGATACAGGGAGCACCTTTGGAGACAAGGCAGGGGGAGAAGAAGCCAAGAGCAGCTGAGCTGCAAGTTGCTGAGATGAGACTTACCCCTGCTATGGGACACAGAGAATTTTCTGTGATTTGCAAGTAAACATAATGCACAAACTTGTCCTCTAAGAGTTACTGCTACCTCTCTGCCAGCAGTCAGCACATCCTGTTGCTGGCTAAGAAATGGGCTATTACCTGAGTGCTCTGCCTTCACGTGCCTTCGGTGAGCAGCAGTGCTGGAGAAGGTTTTGTCACAGGAGCTGCACTGCAAGGAAGAGAACTTGGAGGAGCGGTGATTCTGAGCTGCAAAGACGTCAGGATGGTGGGTCCGGTTGTGATACCACAACCCTGACAACTGCTGCAATGATAAGGACCAAATCGTGGTTACAACCCAAAGCTGCTCCAGGAGTATTAAGACAGCAAGAAGCTGTGCATGGAAAGCAACAGTAAGAGCAGGACTGTGCTCAGCAGATACAAGACACCAGTCAGACCCACACACCTTCCCACAGGACAACGGCCAACACCACGTTTCTTCTCCATTACCCCCTGAAGAGCTGAACACTGCAGAATCCCTCGTCCCCATTTCACTACTCACTGCAGGTCTCCTTTTGAATTTCTGTTGCCTTGTAAGAATGTGCTCCCACACACACTCCCACTGTAGCACGCCATTCGCCAAAGGAGTATTTTTATTCCTAAAGTTCTTGGCAGCTAGAAATTTAGGTAAATAGATTCCTGAAGGTCTGGACAGGCAAGTACACAGTCCTCCTGCAATCACGGCCAATCTGTCTCCACAGACTTGCCCTTCCCCTACAGCTTCTGCCTCCTATGTGCAATTTTTTCCTCTAGTGATGACACTCAGTGCACATGGCCAGGGCAGGTGTCCTCATGCAGTAACAGGCAACAGCAACCTCCAGTACGCCAGGCTAAATCCTTGCTGCCCTAGCTCACCTGGTAAGCTTTGTTGCAGATGCCACAGCTGAAGGGCTTTCCTCCAACGTGGGTCACCATGTGGCGCTCCAGGAGGGATGGGGCACTGAAGACTTTGGAGCAGTCAGGGCAGGGGTGGTACTCTCGGGAGTGGACTTCGTGGATGTGCTTGCGGTGCTCCTGCAGGGTGGCAAAACTCATCCGGCACTTCCTGCAGTCGTAGGGATCTTCAATGTCTGGTGCCCAGGGATGCCACAAAGATGGAGGAGATTAAGAATGCAATGAAAAAAAGAGATGAATTCAGAAGAGAATTCATAGAATGGGGAAAGAGAAGGGAAAGAAGCGTTTGTAAGTTCCCAGATTAAAAATAACACTTAGGTTTTGGCCTTGCATGCACCTAAAGCTTCCCAGTGTTGAATTCCCAGCAGCCCGTAGCCTGCTGGAAGCCAGCTCTGATGTTTCCTTTGAGATAACCCTATTCACAGCACTCAACCATGAGACACCAAGCCAGTCTGGAAACTACCAAATACCTGCATACGTGTCCACTGGCTACAGCCATGCAGAAGCCTTGCCTTGCAGGCTGGGCTGCCCAAAACTGGGGAGACAGCTGGTCACACTCACTGTGAAAGGACCGGAGGTGGATGGAGAGCCCATTGGCCTGGCGAAAGCCCTTCCCACACTCCCGGCAGACGTACGGCTTGTCCCCTGTGTGGGTTCGAACATGGCGTGAGAGCTCGATGGACTGGGCAAACACGGCATCGCAGTACTGGCAGGCATACATCTTCCCTGCAGGAACAGGATAGAGGGGAATGGCTTTAAATTAGAACAGGGATTTAGGTCAGCTTTGAAGAGAAATTTTCACTGAAGAGAGCAGCGAGGCCCTGGCACTGCTGTTCAGGTGCCCCATTCCGGGAGGCGCTCAAGGACCTGGGGAGCCTGATCTGCTGGGGGGCAACCAGCCCATGGGATGGGCTTTAAGGTCCCTTCCAACCCAAGGCACTCTATGATTCTGCAAGACTGCAAACTACACAAGCTTTCCTGGGGTAGTCAGATCGATTCAACACTAAGTTGAAAAGGTCCTAGAGGAAATCATGCCTGCACAAGGAGTATTCAATTAGCAGAGACCTCCAGTGTCTGGAGGTATTATACGTTGTGTCTCACATTCAAAACTAATTGCCCAAGTGCGTGGAGCTCATGCAACATTGTAATGCCTGAGCACATTAATTACAAACACAGTGACACATCCTCTGCAGTCATGAGCTGAAATGGGCATGGCTAAGCCCTGCCTGTGGAAGGGGCTGAGTGTAGGAGCTGATGTGAGACATTATAGGAAATTCAGCCAGAGGGAAGGATGGGAGAAGGCAGGTGGTCCAGAGGGAGGCAGCCACATTGCAGGAGTTTAGATGTGAAGGGACAGAGCAGAGCTACCCAGTAGAAAAACAAGACAGACAAAGAGGAAGATCCCTTCAACAGGAGGCAAGCTTCTAACATGGAGAAGATAGAATGGAGCAGAGGAAGTGCTGGGATTGAGAAGGGTTAGCAGCTGAAACCACAAAAATGAAGCAGATCTGAGGGCAGCCTGCAGCCCACGCTCTCCCAAAACATGCACAGACCAGGAAAGAGGCCAGCAGCAAGGAGGCAGATGAAGAAGCAGGGCAGGAAGGAGTGGATGGGGCAAGCCAAGCCTCACACCCCAACTAGAGATGGGCTCCCGTGGGGAAGACTCACCCTCAGAATGCTTTTTCTTGGTGTGGTAGGCAAGGGCTGAGGCCTGCATGAAGGTCATCAGGCAGTGCTTGCACACGAAGGGCCGGTCCCCGGTGTGCAGCCGCAGGTGATTCTTCAGCGTGGAGTTGGCTGCAAACTTGGCCCCACACTTCTCACAGGAGAAGGGCTTTTCGTCAAAATGCTCAGTCAGCTTGTGATACTGCATTCCTGGTGACAAGAGGAGGACAAGAAGAGGACCAGTACAACATTAGTATACAGCAACCCAGTGCCAGCTCCCACAGCCCTGCCAGGAGCACCTCGTGCTGTTTCATTCTCATCCCGACAGACACAGGGCACTGAGAGCTGGCCAGGGAGGGCTGGGAGCTTCCACACCTCTTGCTGGCCCTGCTAAGCCAGCCGCAGGACTGGAACAGCTCAATTATTTTTGGAGGCTTTTAAATTCGCCGGTAGCCCCACTTTTCCTTGATGAGCCATGTGGAAAACCAATTAGGGAAGAACTAATCAGAAAGCATTTGTGCTCAGTGGGGCAGGAGAAACAAGCTGAGCTGCATTTCCCACACGTGGCACTCACAGAGCTGCAGGGAGGAGAAGATTACGGATTATCATTTTATTATGTCATTTGTGTTTCCCCAGTGTGTGCACAGGGCCCTAGAACAAACACCCCTTTCCTCCCTGCTATCACCAACCCTACCTGAAGCATGAGCAAATTCTCGGCCACAGATGTCACACGTCACAGGAAGACGCTTCTTCTTCTTCTTCTTGGCCATCCCCACCTCTCCATGGACCTCCAGCTGATGCTTCTCCAGCTCTTTCTTTGTCGATTTGACTTCGGTGCATTCCTTGCACTGGATTTGCTTTCCTCTGGCCACCCGACAACGTTTCATGTGCACCTTCAGGCGGCAGTAGAAGTGGAAGCTCTTCTCACAGGCTTTGCAGATGAAATTCTTCTTGGAAGATGCTTTCCCTTGAGGTTCCTTCGGTTCCTTGATTGCAGCACCTCCTGCCTTGTCCTCTTCTTTGTCCAGAGCTTCCACTTGGGATTCGCTGTTCACCTTCCACTTTCTGATTCCAGGTTTCTCTCCACTTCCCTCAGTCAAGAGCCCTGTGTAAAAAGCAGCTCCTGCTTGAGAGGTGACCAGGCCTGAGCACCAAACCCCTGGTCTCCCATCTCCTGAACGCTCCTACACAGCAAGTCATCCCTACAGGGCAAGAACACACACGCAAGAGATGCTCAGTGGCCACGCTGTCCAACACAGCAGTGGTTCACAGCTCTGCCCAAACGTGGCTGTGGTAACCCATGGTACGAGGCATGGAGCAATCCTTGAATTCCACACACGTGTACCAGGGGTTCAATTAGATGTCAGAGCAACAGCCACATTTTTCAAAGAGCTCATTCGTCCCCTGGCAAGAACAGAAATAACTGTTGTTTCTGAGAGTCTGCCACCAGCTCAGACACGTGATGTTGGGCTCGTGCTGAAATGTTTGAAGATCTGAGCCTCGGGCATGACGTTGTGCCACTGGGTCAGGCATTGACAGTGGATATCTAGCCACTAAAATCACAAGAAATCTCAGGAATACTTTCCAAACACAAATTCTTTTAAAGAGAACACACAGTCTTGCTACAGTCCTTTCAAGTCTTCTGGTTAGGGCCCTGGGGTATTTTAAGTCACTCATTACATTCGTTTCTTTAAAAGTCTAATGCTTTTCCAAGTCCCTGTAATGTCATCATTTCGAAAAGCACAAGGTTCTCAATCTACAGAAAAGACCCACATGGAATACACATATGGAAGAAATCAAAATACAAACAGATATATTTGGCTCCTTTGTTATAACGAGAACCATGCAATTCTGTGGTCATGGAAACCACTGCAGAGTTACTTTGCCAATGCACAGGAAATTCAGCCCATATTTGCAAAACTTCATTTCTGCCCTCCTCGTTACGGGAAGAGCTCAGCAAAGTTTTCTCCCTGCACAGTGATATAAGCCCAAATTTCCAACCAACCAGGAACCAGTTGACATATTCCAACGGACACCAACTCAGAAATGTTAAGATGTCAAGTGGTGACCCATCAGCCCCTGAATATGTCAAGGGAATAAAACAGACTGTAAGACTGTTGTGCAGTTTGTCCTCCTCTGTCAAGACAGCAATACACACTCTTCACCCCTAAGGTCTCTTCCCTCATCCCTATAGCCAACACTGACAGTTCTTCTGATTTAAGCAAACAAGAATCTTGAAATGTTGAACATCAGAAAGGGATGAATGTGGATGAAGATACGCATGTTAAAGAAGACAGAAATGGATATGCCTGGAAATGCCACAGCAGCAGGAGCATAATCTGAATCAGACAAAAGAGAGCAAGTCTGCCATACACTCTGTTGGGCCAAGTGCTAGCTTATGGTGCTCTGGCTCTTAAGCCTGAGATAGTGCTGCTCAGGATCTCAGGGATGGACAGTCCAGAGTATCTCAACAACTAAATCAGGATACAGATGTGCTGGAATATGGCTCTGGGAGAGGTACAGGTAAGCCTTCAGCCTACACAACAGCAGAAGACTATGTTATAAAGGCAGGGAGAGCTCACCTTCGTGGTGAAAAACATCAAGGAGTGGCCCTCTATATCTGCAGGGTGATGCTACCACCACCAGAGAGCAGTTCTGAATGAAAGCTGAAGCAGATCGTGTGTAATCAGTGAGTAGGTACAAACACCCTGTATTCCTCTGCCAGTACAACACACACTGCTTGGATGGTAGGTCTGTAATACAGCAGAAATGCCTCAGGCAGGAATTGCTGACTCCAGGACTTCGCTCTGCTTTGCATTCTCTCATGGCAAAGTACTGGAAGAAAAACCCTGCTGGTAATTACAGTGCATCTCCTCATGAGTTCTCCTTCTCTTTTATAAGCTTTCTGCTAAGTTGATAATTCTGGTGGCTGCTCTACTCTACCTGCAATTCATGGCAGATACCAGAACCCAGAAGCAAAAAATTCTTGATGTACGGCCATCTGTCTCCCACTCTTCAAGCTGGAAGAAAATTCCACCCACCTTTTTGCATCTATCCTGTGTCACTGAGCACCTGATGGTCATTACAATGGTTGCTGACAAGCATGGGGAAATGAGCAGAACTTTTACAGGAGAGAATGAAGTTTTGCCTTCAGACTCTTGGATTCCGGGAGCTGTTTCAGGTCCACATTAAATCTCAACTGTGTTTTTCAAGCTCAGGATTACGCAGAGGAAAACTTTATTATCTGGAGTTCTTGACACGTTTCTGAAATTTGAAAATTAGGCATACCTTGACAAGTAAGATCTTCCAAGAAGTGACTCTAAAAAGTCATAGGAAGCAGCTCAATAGTGAAGTGATAGTTGGAAACAGCCAAATCTTGTCTTTGCAAGCATCAACTGAAGCATTAAGAGTGCTCCAGCTACAGAGGTGGGAAAAACCAATAGACTTCATATCATACCTCCACCAGAGAAACTAGTTATTTTGATGATGTTGGATGAGGTTGAGGATGGATTCAGATTCCTCCACAGGAAGCCCTGTTGCTTTCCAAGTTACTCAGCTCAGGTATCAGAGATCTCTCTTCCTCCTTTTTGTGGCAAAGATGCAAAAAAAGATAGCTTTCCAGTGGAAATGCAAACTGTATGCACCTCTTTGAGCACGTATGTTCTTCAGAAAGTAAGATTTTCTCTGTTTTAAGCAGAAGCTCACATTCCTCAAACATGAGGCCCTCAGTTATCATTCACGTTTCATGCTGAGAGCCACATGGCTACTGATCCAGAACGCCACCTGCAACACTCAGGGCTGTTAAGCTGTGATATCACAGCTGAGGAGATCAGTCTTAAAATTAAGATATGGAATGTCAGTGCAAAGATCATGCCAAAAAGAGACCAGTGACTGGCGATTCTCCTCGGACCTATTCATACAAAATGCATGTTTCTGCCAAGCAGATACCATTTTTCCAGTCCTTTTGTTTTTGATGTCGTTTCTTGCTTGCTTATGTCTCAGCCTCTCCTTGGCTTGAAGCCCTGCAAGACGCTCAGTAACAGCAGTCTATTCTCTTTGATACTGGTGCCAGAGAAGCAGGCATCTGTCAGAGCAATTTAGCTGACTCCCCAAGTCCCTCACTGATAAGCACTGCAAGGCGTCCAGCAGCTAAGGTGGACCATACCTTCAAAGACACGTGTGTTTTCTGTTGGCCTACCTCTTCTAGAGCCACCAGGGCATCAGTCCTGGTACATCTCTCAGTCAGCTAGGGCTAAGGCAAGTGAAGCAAGTGACCAGAGCTTCAGCAGGGGACAGAGAAGGAATGGCAGATGAGAAGGAATCACCTTTCCTCTGGAAATCCTCAACAGAGCAATGACCAGCCAAAAAGGCCAGCTGGGTTGGCAGAACCTCTTACGGAGTTTTAAGAGGGGAAAACTAGATTTGAACTGGGTATGAATACTAGATCTACAGCATAGGACGTCTCTCTGGGAGACCACTTATGCTAAGGTAGCTCTATAAGCAGTAAACTAGTCTTTGATTCCTTCTATGAATGCATCCAATCCCATCTACCACCCTAACAACTTTTTCCTATTGCTCAGGAACAGAGGCAGGCTGATGAATGGCCACTCTCCCTCTGCCCCTTCCTGGCATACAGGGAACATTTGCTTTGCCTGTCACTGACAAACATGAAACAATGGCAAATGTCAAAGCCAGTAGGCTGGCATTCATCCATCCAGCTATGGTCCTGACTCAAATTTTCAAACCAATTTCCCTTACAGAAAGGCAAGATATCAATAACAGGCTGCTTATTCTAACTAGCCAGCAATCTGTGAGTATTTCCACGCTGTGTCTGTGCTAAGCAGCTCTGGCACCACAAGTAAATGGAGATGGACTGAGCTGAATCAGCATCCATGCTCAGATAAAAAATGCATTGTGCACATCCCATCAGACTGTGCAGCCCAAAACATCTGTACTTGGATGCACTGGGAAATGTGGTGACATAAAAACATGTGAGAAGACAGAAGAAGCAAGCCACATTTGCATCCTTTTCAAGAGAATGCAAACCTGCAGTTGCCTCTCTGGCTCTCTGTTATCTTTTTCATTAAAGCATCAAATCCTGTTAAGCATTTTTCCTTCAAATGATGGATGCAGAGACACAATTCAGCTCAGCTGGAAATAATTCCATAGCTCAGGGCAGGGTCTCATACACCATTATTGATATGCATTTGTTTCTGAAGTTCACGAAATTGCTATCTGCATATGCTCCACTCATACCTTTGTCAAACTGCTACAGTACATAACACTCACCTACTGCTGTGGGACTCTCCTGTGGGATCATTTGCTCTGGAAAATGTACATATAGCAAAACCAAATGAAGGCACGGTGAGACAATTAACTCAGGGAATAGTCTGGGACTACAAAGTGCACCATCACTGTCAGCCTTTCATGAGACAAGTGCACTCGGATGTGAGCTTTTCACAATCAGCCTGTGAAGTATCTGCACATACAGCAAGTCAGCACATCGTAGCACCAGGATTCTGCTGTCTGCTACCACTCCAACTCCCCAGAACTCACAGTGCTATATGTAAGCAACCACAGAAAGATGGAAGTCTGTTCATTCCTTACCCACATGCCCTAGCTCCTGCATCACTGGCTGCAAGTCTGGGAAAGACTCATGGACACTGCACAGCAGCTGACAGATCTTGATGGCTGGGACAGACTTCTCCTGTGCTGTACTCAAAGCTGCTTTCAGGGAGGCCTCTGAGCTTTTCTTTTGAGCAGAAATACTCAGTAGCTAGAGAAGTAAAAAGAAGAAAACATCACGAGACAGAAAATCTGGGCTGTCAGGGGTCGGGACGGTCTGGGAATGAGGGCAGTTTCCCTTTTCCTGTTTCATCCTTGCTGTTGGGAACCTGCTCAGAGAAACCAGGAAAAAAATTATCTTCCCAAACAAGTCTTTGCCCTTCCACTGATGTAGAAGCATGAGCAGAGAATTTCTGGACTAAAACAAGTTACAATAAATCAATTCTCAGATTTTCTAATTCGGCTTTAGCTTACTTAAAACTGCCTCCATCAAAAGAGAGGTTTCTCAATGCCTCACTGCACTGAGTTTACCTAATCTGTAAATCTGTCTTTCATGCATTACTTTCTGTAGAATGCAAACTGTGCTGGCTCCAAAGGGGGGTACGCACTGCATCACCCCTTCATACCTCTTTCACTGCTTCTGTGAGTCCTGCTTCCCCTGGAGCCAAGCCCTCCATGTTTGCTCTCTGCTTAATGGCCTCTGAGATGAGCTCACTGTGCCGCAGGATGATTTCAATGGCTGTGCTTTCACTGGTGGCAACTGAGGAGGAAAATAAAAAGTATGTAAAAACCCAATATGAAAAACTCAATATGCAAGGAGAACCTAAACGTAGCTTTGCTTAGCTAAAGGTGATCTGTTAACAGCAGGAGTCCTTTCTTTATGGAGCAGGAAACAGGGAGCAGCTCCAGGCAAACTCTGGTTACGTTCACTGCCTCACAGACATCCAGCCTAAAACACAGCAATCTGGCAGACCTCACTTCTCAGTGTTTGTACAACTTTGGGTGAGGAGATCAGGTTTTACAAAGCACGTTATTGAGTGAGATGCTAACAACCTTAAAAGGCAAGCACGACTGTCCCAACACACAGGATTTCTTCCCTCCCCCAGTTGGAGATATCCCGTTTTGACATTTTGCAGAGTGATGCCTCATCCAAGGATACCACATAAAAAGGAGCCACATGCATCATGCACCAGAAGTGCTGATTTCTCTGCACTGAGCACAGAGGCAACGGAGTTCAGATGTAGATAGCTATCCCGCAGGCATTTGACCATGGGCAAGTGAATCTCAGCTTCATGTACAGACACATGCACAGCCTCCCCCCTCTCATTCACCCCAAATCCATTAATTTTCATGAGATTTCAGCAACTGCGCAGGGAGGGGGGAGCACAGGTTATGTTTTCAAGTAGGGAAATGCAATGACAGATTCCCACAGCTGGCAGGGAAACTCAAAGCCAGAGGCCAGAGTTCTTGGGAGGACAGGGGAGAGGCTGCACACAGACCTCCAGTTTAACCCATGTTTTCAGTCTGACGGGCCTTCAGCTGCTTTTTAGCACACAGTGGCAGCCAGCTCTCAAAAGGTTTGCTCACAACAAAACCTTATAGCCCCTGTAACACACAGAGCCACAAACAAAGCAGTGGCATTTGTGTGGTGTTTTTCCAGCACATAACCAATCGACTGTTTCAAAAAAGACACAGGCTTTGGACACACACCGGAGAAAAAGTATTTCCAGACACCAAAGCAAGGAGTGTGAAAGGGTCTGTGAAGCTTGCAGCAGCGGAGAGGAAGGAGTTAGGAAGTACATTCTGCCAGCAGTGGGAAAAGTGCAGAGGAGACTGAGGGCATTACCTGCCTGGAAGAACAGCTCTGCGCCCGGCTCTTTCTGGATCTCCTCCATGAGCACGTTCAGCGGCAGCTCGGCCTCTCGCACAGCCAGCAGCAGCTGCCAGACCACAGAAACAGACAGAGACTGCTCCTCCAGTGCCGCAGACACGAGTGAGATGAAGCCACCTGAGCCAGTCTCGCACTTCACAATCTGTTCCATTGCCTTCAAAAGATCGTCAGTGAGGTGCTAACGAGTGACTTCATCCATCTGCCCAGCATGGCCCCAGCCAAGGCCATGGTTTGCCCCAGCCCCAGCCTTCCCTTACTCCTGCCCTGCTTGAGACCTGGCTCACAACACAACCCAAGCAACAACCACTTCAAAGCCCAGCCTTTTGCTGAAACACATGGGACGTTTCCTTGCTTCATCTCTCCTCAGTTCCCAGATCAGCCATTCTTCCTTGCCTATCTTCACCTTCCTGCACATAACTGCTTCGTTCCCATTATCTGATGTTAAGGAGGAATCTTTAAATTGAGTCCTGCTGGAGGACTGCCCCAAAACCAAGCCATGACAACCAGTAAATCAAGTCCTTGTGACACCTTGCTTCCAGTATCAGCTATAACACACAGACAGGAGACTGCTTACCTCTCTGTCAGCAGGAGCTAGGCTCTCTGCAGCAGAAATGCCACGCAGCAGAGTCTGGGTGTCTGTGAGGTGCTCCACTAACCTTTCTTGGTATCGTCTCAGCAGTTGGGCTCCATAATCCTCCAAACTCCATTTGGCTGAATGCAAGTGAAGGAAAAAGAACAGCTCAACACAGCATCTTCCCAAAGGGCTTCAAGAGCTACAGAGGGCTTGAAAACACCAAGGATGCCAGATCTCCCTTGTCATAGGATGACTTGGGCTAGAAGGGACCTCAAAGATGATCTAGTTCCCAGACATTTGCCACAGGCAGGGCTGCCAACCACTCAGGACACTTGGTTTCACCTTTTTTGCAGCCAAGTAGAGTGGGTAAATGTGTGGCTTTGTATATCAAGACAACACCTCAAGATGTTTTCCAGTCTGTTCCGATGTCCTGCTAGCAAGAAGTTCCCACTAACTCTTAATTGCAGTTTCATTGAAAGCAGGTTTTAATTGAATCTTAGATCCACTCCACCACGAAGGAGCTCTGCAGCACACTCTGTCTCAGCGGTGCGCAACTCTCAAACACAGCAACATTTTGCAAACACCCATATGGTCCAACATAAGCAAGAACTGAGTGGGCTGAGTTTCTTTGGTGAAAATGTTAAGGGAACACAAACCAGACTTGGGATTGCAAAATAGCAGTAACACCCTCTTCTCTCACTTATGCACAAAAAAAATACAACTTTAGCCTAATTTGTTCCTCATACATCTGATTCCAGACTTGACCTGATGAATCTGAGACACGGTAACTTCAGAGTAACAGCACAATCCTCAGCAGACATCGCAGTAGCAGAACACAATGAACTAAGTCAAGGAAGAGGGCTAGCCTTCACCCAGGGTAATGAAAAGATTTGGGACAACATGCTGTGTACCCAAAATAATTATGATTGTACTCGTCCCCAGACTAGTTGATAAATAAAACTGGGAACTGCCAAACAGATGAACCTGAAAGCCTGAAAGGTTTTTGGTGTTTTTTTTTTTCCAATGTTGGAGTTACAGAATTGGAGGTGAAGATGCATAGTTACACTTTTGTAAGAGAAACAAAAATAAAAAGCTGTAGTTCATCCAGGACATCTGTGCTTGTTTTTTTTTGTTTGCGTGCTCAGGTTTTTAAATCATTTTGGTTCAGCACCAAACAGAAAGTTCAATTACTCACAATAACGACAGGTTGGTGAAAAAAATGTACAGTCCTTGAGACCCAGAAAACATACACTGCAAAGTAAGAAGAGAAAGCTCTCCCAGGTGGGGAAGGGAGCAATGGCAATCTGTGGAATAATCAATGGATGATTTTGAGCTTATATGAAAAACTCCCTGGACAAAGACCTTTTGGAGACAGCTTAGTTGCTCCTTGGTGAAGTTAAGGGAATCTCATTTAGCTCTGTAAGTTTTGACTTGCATGCGCCCCACATGGATCAGGGCACAGATAACAAATGAAAGGAGAGGCAGTGGGTGCCCCATCCCTGGAGGCATTCAGGTCAGGTTGGAGGGGCTCTGAGCACCGATGGAGCTGTGGGTGTCCCTGCAGGGGGTTGGACCAGATGGCCTTTAGTGGTTCATTCCGACTCAGGTGACCCTATGTTTTTATATTTCTCCCCTTCTCCTATCAAAATGCTTCTGATTTTATTACACTTGAGTTGCCACAAATGCACTCAGCTCTGCTGTGAGCTCCATGTGAGCCTGTTAGCACTGCAGCACAGGACAGCAAAGGCGGCCGTCGGCGGCTCAGATTCACTCCCTCCCTCTTCATTTCCACGATAAGAAATATTTGTGCTTCTGTTTGTTCAAGCTGCAATTCGAGAAGATTCAACTCTATGTAATTAAGGAATGCTCCTCCTTGGAATGGGTATTACCACTAGATAATTAAGCATGTTGGGAGTCTGATGTTTCAAGAAAGCAATCGTGCTTAACAAATGACAAAGCAAATTGCCTGTCGGGAATGTTTGCTACAGAGGAAGTTATCAGCATTATGAGTGCAGTTTTGCTTTCTATTAAACAGTAATTTACATTTCACTGCATATTAATTTAGTTTTTAATTTTTTAGTGACTTCAGAGCTGGTGAAATTTGCTAGTCTATCTGAATTGCTCAGCCTAAACCCACTCATACTTGGAAAGCTGTTCCACCAGGGGAAAGATGAGGAGTTCAAGTCCTGGCAGCACCACAGGCAAGCAAAAAAAACCCAAACAAACCCACACCCAGCAACAGGGGGACTAGCACTCCAAGATAAGGATGTCTAATGGGGCCACTGAATGTGGGACACCCAGAAGATTACAAACCAGTGACCATAAAAGAATCATCAAGGTTGGAAAAGACCACCAAGATCATCCAGTCCCACCCCAACCCATGCCCATCGTGCTCACTAAGCACATCCCTCAGTGCCACATCCCCACGGTTCTTGAACACTGCCAGGGATGGTGACCTCACCAGCTCCCAGGGCAGCCCATTCCAACACCTCATCGCTCTTTCTGAGAATCAATTTCTCCTAATTTTTCCTAATATCCGACTTGAACCTTCCCTGATACAACTTTCACTGCAATGCACTGGGCTGTTTTCTAGCCGAGCCCCCTCAAATCAGTGGTCCCAGATCTGCTTTGTTTGCATAAAATGGGCATCTTATGCCCCGGTGTGAAATTAGGACCATAAGAGCACAGTGAGGTGCAAAAAACCATCCAGACTTCCTAGAAATTCCCTTCACTAAGCCCCCATACATGTGAATTTAATGTAGCCATCATACCTTTGCCATCAGAGACGTTTGCTTTCACCTCCAAGTTGTCTAGCAAAAGATGGAGACCAGGGAATGACGCTTTCACAGCCCTCAGAAGCTTGACCAAACTTTCAGCTTTCAGGGTTTTCTCCTCTTCCACCTTCTTGAGCAAATTGTCCATGGCTTCCCTCTGGGATTTGCCCTCACAGCAATTCAAAACTACCTGCAACAAAGAAACAGACAAGAAACTGTTTGCACTTCCTTCAAATTCTTGGACCTAAACAACACTGAAGCAACAGGGACAGCATCATGGTGCAACAAATCCATACCCACTGCTCAGATCGGGTATCGGGAAGAATTTCTTTGTGGAGGTGATGAGGCATCGGGAGGGGCTGCCCATGGAAGTGACAGACATCCCATCCCTGGGATTAATTAAGAGAGGTGTGGATGTGGCATCAGGAGACAGTTTAATGGTGAGGCTTGGTAGGTCATTTGGATGCTTGGACTTGAAGGTCTTTTCCAACCCTAGATGATTTCATGAGTTGGCACCTTGAAAAGTACCCCGGTGGGTTCTTCCACCAAATCTACATCTTGGAAATGTCTGACAAACAGAAAACATTTCTTCAAAGGAATGCAAAAAAAAGTCTCAAAGGCGGGGTTCAAAACAACTCTTCGTTAAATATTTTGAGCAAAGACTTTCTAAATTGGCAATCTCTTTTCCCTCATTTCCCTTCATTTTTTTTCTGCTTGACACTTGAAGACAAGGAGACCAAAAAAAAGGAGACTCATTAAATAAACACCCTATTAATTGAATGATTATTTTTATGACGAGTCCACACAAGACACCTCACTTGTGAGACACAATCGCTGTGGTTCAAGTATGCTGTAGCAGCAGCTCCCCAGCACAACCAGTAAAGATGGACAGCCTTCATGGGGAAAAAACAGCCCGTTTCTGGGGAATGGGAGGGGATCATAGAAGTGCACACAAACAGGCAGAAACTTGGTAGATCCACGGCCCGTTAATAAAATGATTAGCATCTGCCCTGAACAAAGTTGTATTTTTGCTCCTTTCCTCAGGTTGGAAAGCTCACATGCAGTCTCATTCCCCAGAAGACTCCTCTAATTTTCAGCTTCAATTTATTCATGGCCAGCGCATACCCACTTGTTCATCTGCCAACATTATCTTTTAGCTTAAAAAGCTCTTCTAAACTCACTGTTTACCCTATTCTTCTCTCCAATTTCTTTATAAAAGCAGGATCATATTCCCTCTCAGTCTTCATTTCACTTGTCTAAATAAGGCAGCTTCCCTCATAAAATAGCTTCTCCACCTCCCCAGTGTTAACAACTGACTCTACTCCAATACAAATTCATCTTTTTTGGAGGAAGACAAGAGCTGCATGCATGTCAGATAAGGTTTCAGTTCTTGTTCTGAACTTGCACCCTTCCATCTCCCTATTCTCACCGCTCAGCTCTCCAGCCATGCCATCCTTCTCCCACCTGCAGATTCTCCTCCACATAGAGGAAAGCTCACGGCTGTGCTCATCACCAAGTCTTCCCACCACGTTTTGATGTTTTTGCGTCGACAGCATTAGCGATTAATCGAGTACCAGGGAACCTGCTGGTAACCCTGCCTCAACGTGTCAATCCTGCCTTCAGCACAACCTGTAGTTATCTCCCAACAAGCTATCTCCTCTTTTTAATATCGAGATTTCCTTTGGTTTAACAATTTCCCCACGTGAAATTCAAACGCTTTGCTCAAGTCTAGTCTGAGGCAGCAAACCCCATTTTTATCTCATCAAATAAAGATTCCAGGTCAGGCAGAAACAATTTACTCCAACACCCTTGCTGCATTTTATCCCATTTCTTTGATTACATGCAGTGCTTCAATTACACAAGCCTTCCAGCTTGTCCCAGTGCAGATTCCTGTGCAGCCATAGACCTGGTTGCTTGGATCTCTGCTTCTCTCTTCCTACACGTACGTCCTGGTCACCAATTGTAGGGGCTACTCCCAGCTTGAAAAATGCAGTCATAAACCTTGCCACTGCTCTGACAGCCATGTGAGGTGTGTGTTAGCTCTCCAGCCTGCTGCCCCTACACCCTTTGAGTTGTGGTTTCAGTTCAGCTGCAGGAAATTTCCACTCCTGTATCTTAGCTAGAGCCCTCCTGTGTTTGTCCCTCAGTTCAGCAATGAGATTGTGGGTCATCTCTCGCTATCCTCTTTTTTTTCACTTGATTGAACAATTGTTTGTTTCTTCACTCAACATATGCTGTGATGTCCAGCATCCTGATGAGCTGCAAGACCCCCTTCTTACAGACATTTTCAGACCTCTGAAGCAAACTCCTTTGTCTGTAGGCCATTGTAGCCATCCTGGTAGCTTCTCCACTTGGTCTAATACTCTTCAAGTTATTTATTCCCTCAGGTCTGCAACTTCTTGTACAAATTCTCCTCTTTGGTTGAGGAAACAAACTTCAGACAGTTCTCATACCTTTAACATGAAAGAAACGAATCCAACAGCTCCTCCTGAGCTCTTATGAGAAGCTGAACTCATTAATTAGTTTCTCTCATTTCTAGAAATCTGTCCTTTTATAGCAAAAACCTCTGTTAGTGAATCTCCCATTTAATTCACACCGAGATGACCCCTGAGCACTCATTTTGAAGTCATCTTTTCTGAGAACACAAGAGGGGTACAAGAACAGAATCCTTATGAAGAGTTCAGACTACAACCTGTTGCTGCTCCCAGACAAGTTTCTGTGCTGCATTCCAGCAGGCCCAGAACAGATGACCCTGGCTGTGATTTTGAGATTCTTTTTGACCACATCTGAGTGGGACAGTCAGAAACACCCCCCAAGTGTGTTTGCAGGCAGTTTTCTGCATTCTCCAATACGCCCAGTTAGGATTGCTCTCACAATGGCAAGCAACTTTGTTTGCACTGTCATTAATAAACCCTAGCAAGGAGCTCTTACTTGTGTGCAGAAAGAAAGGATGATCGTTTTTACCAGCTACTATGCTGCTCCAGGTTCAGGGCTGTACTGAGGATTGGTCACACTGAACTTTGCAGCAACTTAAGACATCACACACAAGAGGTTACCCTGCTCTGTCATTTTATCCAAGTTTGTTTGCTGAATAAATGTGTGTCTGCTGAGGGAGTGACTGCAAGAAGAAAAGTTTCATCACCATGAAGCCTTGGAGTACCAGATCCTATCTCTGCCAGCCCAGAGCTCCATGTTATTCAGGAAGATGAAACCTTCAGAGGTGGCTGATAACTCCATGTTCCACACCTGAGATATGCCACAGCCCCGCTGTTTAATCAAGTCAACTTCTGAATTAATTATGCACATTTCCAGTTGTTTAGGGGGAAAAAAACAGCACAAACAAATAAGGGAGATCTTAAAGAAATAAAAAATGGCACCAAAGGATCCCTGCCCCTCAGGTCAGCCTACATGTGGCAATTTCTGCCTTACTTTCCTGGGCCTCAGCTCCCAGTGTACAGCTATGCACCCAGTCTCACTGAGGTCCCCTGCAAATAGGTTTGTTATTTGTCAGCAACCTCCGAGCTAAAACAAGAGCGTTTGTGCTTGAGAACCCATTGAGAAGAGAAGGATTTTGTATTCAGAGCAGGGTTTGGAGGCTCTGCAGCAAACAGCGCGGGAGCAGAGAGCAACCAAAAAGCACAAGAAGAAATACTGAATAACACCACCCCTGCACCAAGGCAGAAGCCCTGTGAATGCCAGAATGTACGATCATGCAATTGAATGCTACCAGATGCTATAACCAAGGAGCAGAATTATGGCACCTCTGGGTATCCCTAGCATTTTCTTTGGCCCTCCTACAAGCTGTGGCCAGGCTGCCCCATGCTGGAAACCTTGTCAGGGATTGCATGCAAGGGAGCAAGACCAAAATCAAGGCACTTATAAGAAAAGATTTTCAGCCAGCCTGTCATGGCTCTGGTCAGGCTCGCTCAGACAGAAAGCAGACATCATTCATGCCACTGAGCACAACAGCGCTTTCCTCTCGCTATAATCCTATGTCAGGGGAACTAACTGATGTGACAAACTAGGACAGCAGGTCTGCAAGCCGTGTACTGAACGCAGCATGCTAGGACACCTGCAAGTTTCAGCTTCACAGGCAGGGTATAGGCAGCTCCCCTCAAAACACAAAAGAAAGCAGGTTGTGCACAGTGTTGGGTTGATGGGGTTTTTTTCTTCATGGCTTCTGCAAATCTGCATACATAATGCAATTGCTTGCGGGAAAGCAGTAGTCCTCCACACCAACTGCTGCACTCAAGTCATCAAAAAAAATAGTATCTGTCAGTGGATGTGCTGCATTTGCAGGCAACTGTGTGCACAGAGTTAAAGAAGAGAGAACCTGGGAGTCGGCTAAAGGCAAGCTGATGGCTGAATTTACAAGGATATAACTGGTGTGCAGGCAGCACATGATTCTAATGGTCCTGCTGAAAACAAACTGCATTACAGAGCCTTCTTCAGGCTCACAAAAAGAGACTGTGAGAAACACCAGCTGCCTCCTTTGCCCCAGTTTCTGCTTTCAGGGACAAATTGGCTCACTGGTCAGTGTCCCCCCTGGCCTTGAGATTACACTTTTGCAGTCCACCTCTCAGTTTTCCCACAGTTCAGCACAGAAGCAACTGAGACAGCTAACATAAGCAGTCCATGCTGTGCAGAGAAATCCCCAGGTGAGCCTGGAGCATCACTGGGCAAACCGTGTGGAAAGACAGTGCCTGGCAGACCCACACATACAACCCTCACCCACAGAGCTTCCCTTATCTCAGATTTGTTACCCGCTTTTCCACGGCGGTCAGGAATCCCTCTTCTGCTGCCTCCAAGAACTCTACAATGGGGCTCAGCTGTGTCACGCTCTGGATTAGCTCCTCCTTGCATCCCAGCAAACGAGCGGTCAGCATCTCTCCCTCTTGTGCACTCTCTGGGGAGAAAAGGATTCAGAAGCACAAGAGAAGAAACAAGTCAGTCTGAAGGAACTGACAGGCTCCTGAAGCGAGTGAGACTCTGTGAAAGATCTAAGTGAATAGCAAAGCTCATCCCAAGCACAAGCAGCAGAGAAAAACCACTTTACGATTCTCTTTAAACTCTATGAAAGGAAAACGTCTCATTTATCTAACAGAGCACAAAGCCATAAAGCAAGCTGGAGGTTAACACCAGGTTTGCAAGGCCACTGCTTTGTGTCAGACTCAAGTAAGAAAGGAGCTTTCAATCCCGAGGCTCAGCTGTGCTCCAGCCCACGCTGGCTGTGCAGCCATCGATCCAACCCTGCAGGCAGCAATGGGGAGAGCCCTGCACTGCCTGCACCCCACTGCTGTGGAGCAGAAACACTCCAGGATCTTGGCCAGCACACAATAAGCCTCCCACATATGAGTAAGGATACAAGCTCTGAACAAATGCTAGAGCACTGCAGTCTGCCCAGGGGACACAGATAATCTTCTGAAGCTTTGCCTGTAAGGTTACCCACTCACTTTGCCAATAGCTGTGCCCAATTCTCTGTACCTGTTTGCTGCAGGACCTCTCCACTGCCCTGCTCCCTCTCCAGCAAGGCCGCTCTCAGCTTGGGATTCACATCTTGAAACAGCTTCAGTAGAGACACAAGGGTCTGAGCATCCAGAGTGTGAGCATCCTTCACTTTGCTCAACAGCTTCATGAACACTGACTGTTCCCCTGCCTCTGCCAGACAGGTGAGCACAACCTAAAACGGGCAAACACAGGAGATGTTTAGTAACAGAGTCAACTGCCTAATGCAAGCTGACATAAAGAGCAGATTTCACTGCAGAACAGGGAGAGAACACACACAAAAAGCAGAGAGCATTTCGGTGGGACTTTAGGCATCCCCCTTCTCAAGTCATAAAGGAGTCACATCTCCCAGCGAATGCTTTGGGCTTAAGCTTTGGAGATAAGGCACATAAGTGCTGTGTTGTGGGCTCTCTGCACACCTGGCAATCAAGCTCAGAGCTCCAAAATCCACTCCTGTGACCCCACATGGCAACCAGAGGCAAACATGCCTGCACGGTGATGGAAATAAAAGGAAAAGAAAGAAGCTGGAGCTCTTGCTCCCATTTCCCTGGAGCCCTTTAACGCTGTAAACATTGCCCCTAAAGACACACACTCCCTAGCTCTCCACGAGAGATGCCAGCCTTTCAGAGCAGGCATCCTTTATTAGAGACTCCAGGGATGCTATAAAAGTACCTTTGAAGTGGAGAGCTTAGCCCAGCTCCCAAGATAACGGCCATTTTCTGCTGTCATTGTCATTTTTATTTCTATGATAAAAAGACTGAATGTAACTGCTTGAGGCCGCACCAGGGGGATGGTGGACTTGCTTTTCCTAGCAGGTGTAAATGCTCACATATTAGGGCAGCGTGACAGTGCAATGACCTATTGCAAAGAGCATCTGCAGAGGGAGAGCTGCAGGAGCCCCAGCTCTTACCCTCTAACAGCATTTTTCCTGCCAAACAGAGAGACGTGGACATGAAGGGCTCTGTTATAAAGGAAAAGAGCCTTAATTAAAATTAAAATCAGCACAGAATGACTACCCAGAGCTTCAGTTAACATCCCTTCCTCGGTGCACGGTTTTCATTAGCAGAACTGAGTTTTGAGAAAGGGAAAGGCTCTGCTATTTATAGTTTCTTTCTGGAAGACCTTTCCTCAGACACACTGCTCAGTGGGAGCAACAGCCTTTTAGCATTGTTTAGAAAGAGTGCACAGTGCATTTTAGACTTACTTTGAAGCAATAACAATTCCCAGAGAACCTGGAAGAGCTGGAGAAATACCGATATTATCTGGAATTGCAGCTTCCACTTACTCATAAGGTTCCCATGCATTACAGCCTCTTCCATTAGGTTTTAACTGCACAGGATATTTGCAAAATCCTTTATAGCCACATTAGTACACAGCAGCACCTTCCAGACCCTCTGGGCAGGGCAGCAGAGTCACCAAGACACGGCTTCAGCTTCAGTTGTGCCACCAAACAGGATCAATGCCCACTGCAACATTGGGCTCGTGCTGCAGGCATCAGTGGTGGTGTCCACAACACATCCAGCCCAGCACCAAAACGATCACAGATTGAGAAATTTCCTTCCCAATACATTCAGTCCCTACACCATCACACCCTTCTGCTGCAGCCTTGCCTCTTTCCTGTAGATGGAGGAGCACTGCTCCGGTTTTTCAAACCACATCTCCACTTCTATTCACTGTCAAGTGCCAGTGATCCAAGCAGAAAGCCACTTCACCAACTATTATCCAATGAGCTCTCCTTAACAACAGCTTCAGGGCAACACAAGCTCCTCAAGTGGTAGGAGGGATCAAGAGATAGCAGAGGACACTGGTTCCACTTGTGTTGCTTTTAAAAACTCAGCCAAAACTTCCACACGAACATACCAGAACAAGGGAAAAATTTAGCCAGCTTTGCCACCATTAAAACAAGCGAAAACACAAGCTAGCACTTCTCATCAGGATGCAGGAGATAAAGAGAAACTTTTATGCCGCATCCAGAAATTCCTGCAGCTGCAAATGAAGGACAGCAATAATTGGACAGGCCCATATGCAATGGAAATGCTCCACAAGCACTGTGACACTTATTCTGCGCTAGAGAATCAACACTCCCCACTTCATCTGAAACCAGAAGCAGAGGGAACAAATGAGCTGTGCAATGATTTGAATTGAGTTTCTCTAAGAAAGCACAGGAAGATAAGACTTGACACCAGCAAAGCTCTTCTACGCTTCCCCAAATTACTGCAATTTCAGACTCGTTCTCATTTCCAAGCAGGTTTCATCCAGGCCAGAACCAAATTAGATAGGAATAGTTTATGCGAGTTACAGAGAGAGACTTCAGAACAAAAAACAACTCCCCCAAAAAATCACATCTCCCTAAATAGAAAACCAACTTACAAGGGTACGTCTGCATTTTTCAGCACAGGGAGCAGAAAGTAGCAGCAAACTTAGAGAAAAGTAAAAACTCTGACAAAAGCAAAGCCACAAACCTCAGTGGGAAAACAAAAACAAAAAAAACCCACAGCTTCACCAACGCCCACTGGATGTAATAGGAAATAAAGCAGCGACACCTGAGAGGAGCAAAGCACAACCCCTTATTCTGTGGGGCTGCTGGCAACGAGGCACCCATCGATGGATGAGCAAAGGAACAGAAGTAGAGTGACATCCAAGGCAGAGTCCCACTGAAACCTGAGGAGCCAGAGCAGCCTCAGCTTTAACAGGCAGGCGTGCAACATCTCCACCAACACTCCAAGCCCCAGAGCTGTGCCTGCCTGGGCTTTGTTGTCAAAAACTGCTTGCTGATAGAGACGATGCACCCACAAAGGAGTTGTGAGCAGAAGGACGCGCGCAGGGATGGGAGCTCTCTGCAGCATGGCAAGCACTGCCCTGCTCAGCATGAGGAAAGGCAGCTCCTTGCGTCGCATGGTTGCACCCACAGCCATCTCACTGTCTTCCAAACTGGCTTTCACTTGCACTAAGGTGCCCAAGAGACTTCAAACAATAAGTAGTGAAATAAAAAGGAAATTAAAAAAAAAGAAAAAGAAAAAAAAAGAGGGAAGGGAAAAAGAAAATCCATTGACTTTTTTACCACTGCCATAATTTCAGCCCTTGTTACACATCCCGAGCTGTGCTCTTCTCAGCTAAACTTGCTCTTTAAGCATGACTTCGAAACACACCACTGTGTTTCCCCAAAGAAAACACCAGGCCCTTACGGGAAAAAGCAACACCCTCTGCTGGAAGCAGAGCTCAGAGTCGTGCCGGTGCCGACAGATGCTGCTTATCCCAGCAGGGAGCTCAGAGAGCGACAGAATGGGCTGAGCTGAGAGTTTTCTCCTAAGCCCTTACTTAGAATGGGCTGCAATCCCCCTCCTTTCCCCACTGCCTTTGGGGCTAACACTTTTCATGCTTGTTGCAGCTGAGAAGTGATTTTTCTGCGAGGCTTAAAGAAAATCCATTTCTCATTTATTCAGCATTTATTTATAGCTACAGAAAAATTGCCCAGGTGCTGTTCTGCAGTCAGATACCCACACTGTCTCTGAACTCTCCCCATTTGGATCCTACAGCAACAGCTCATTCGGGAGCAAAACAGGCAGGGCACACAGCATAGATGGGCCCACCGACCCCACCTGCTATGCATTCGCAGTGCTGGAGACACAGTAAACATTACAGTTACTGCAAAGCAACAGAAAAACAGGGCTGTTTAACCATCACAGAAGCAAGGCAGCGTGCATGCCGGGCTGTGAGTGGTGTGCTGTGCTGTGCACATGGGTGAGGAGGGCACACTGGCACGGGCAGCACCTGTCTGCATTGCGAGGGCTCAGCACTCTTGCTGGGGCACTGCTCCAGTTGCAGCACCAATTGCCCACGTGTAGAGCTGGGACAACTTTAAACCTGACAGTTTTCTAATCTGGAAGATGAATGAACACACAAAAACATAATCCTTTGGAGGCATGCTGAGAGCAACACGCTCACAGGTGCTCGTCAGTCTGGCCAGGCTTGGGCTTGCTACGTAACCACGAATTAGGACCCACATCTCACCTCTTAGAGCCCCAGATAAGTTCAACACTGTCAAAGGGGCCAGCTGCTAAGGGAACAAAGACTTCCAACCCATCAACATTCAAAGGCTTATCAGAAAATAAATCTGTACTCCTTGACTTGAGGGAATTCTCCTACCTGCTGTCACACATCTTTTTTCTATTAAACACGTTGGCTTCGGTTTTCCGCAACAGAAAGATGTCTTGGCATCACACAGTTATGCTGGTACAAGAGGGTCCAGGTGATTCAAACCCACATGGCTTCCCACCCAGTAAGCTTCTAAGATCAGAGATCTCAGTCCCATAATCCACGACTTCCCAGCGTTTAAAGCCTTGTACGATGGCTGCTATCTGTTGTTCATAGCCCAGAATATCCCTTTTAGCACCAACTCAGCGCTACGCTCAAACATCTTCCAACAATAACTTGAGCATCACTCATCTGCAACGACAGCTTTTCGAGCTGAATGCTGCCAGAAGCACCATGAGACAGCAGGCCAGCATGCCCTGTATCCATCCCCACCCATAAGGCTCCTCGTGAGCGGCCTGCACAACACAGAGCAGAGCAGCTGCTCCGCAGCAAGCCCTCACCACGGGCACAGGAAATCTATTTTGGGATCCCATGTGTCAGTCATTCCCATGTTGATGCAGTTCCTGAAGCAAATGCCACAAACAGGAGGAGTGCTGGAGCTCTCCTAGCACAGGGAAGATGTCTTTGGGGCAGGACATGCACTTTCTCACCTACACGCACAAGCTGCTTTGTCTCACAGATGCTGCTTGAGTGCATCGTTCAGGGGAGCACGATCTGCCCTTCCAACAACAAAGCACCAGAGCCCCAGTTTCCCTATGAAAAGATTTCCTAAACAGGGATGGAACTATTCTAGCCCACAGCAGGGTGGGGAAGAAAAGACTTGTATTATTTATCCAATAAACACACCTACCTCCCTTTGAGAGGCATCAATTTCTCTGCACTCTTCTAGTCTTCTCAGCACGGCTTGGGCATCAGAAAGGGCCTCTGAGAAAACACTTTCATATCGAAGAAAGAAATCCAGTTTACAGCTTTTGCTCTCTGCTGCTGTGAGAGAGAAACAAGATGAGTTATTTGCTAATTGAAGGGATTCACAGAAAGCGGGATGTGATTGAAAAGCATCAGTTTGTAACCAGCACATTGGCTGTAACATGGAAACTGTGACTCACAAATCCCTTCTGAAGATATCACACAGCCCGGAGGAAAAACCAACAGTTTATTTAACACAAGTTATAAATGGAACATTTATCTCAAATCCAGTGCAGCCTCTGTTTCCCTCCCATGCTGAACATGAGTTTAAAAGATAAAGTAGCATTAGCAGGCAACTCTGTTCACTTACTGCTATAAAGATTGAATTACAAACCTCATGTGCTGCATTAACGCAGATCCCACTATACATGAGATGCAATAGATAAGATATTCATCTATACAAAGATGAATAGATAAGAAAAGTTTTGCTCAATATAGCTCTGGTAAAGTGCTAAGAGCAAAACAACCACAAAGGCCAAAGGATAGCATTGCACTGTGCCAAAGGAAGAAAGTCCCCACAGAAAAGGGGCACATGTCAGTGCTGTTACCACCCCATAGCAAATTAAAAGATGAAACACAGGGAAAAAGATCCCCCGTGACAAAAAGAAGTAAAGCAACTCAAGCGTAATCACTGAGAGGCAATCCTGTCAAGGCTCACCTAAACCACTCACTCTTCCTTTCTTCTCCAGAGGCTCAGCAGGCTCCACTTCAACACAGCAACCACGCTCTGGGCAGGCAGGCTGGGCAGCACCAGAGCCTGAATCCTCCCGGAGGGACCCCGAGCTGCTCAGCATCACATCCTGGTGAAGCCAGGTGTGATTCACAGTCAGTTCCTGCTCAGGAAGAGAAATATCTGCTTCCATCTCTGCTTCTCCAGGGCCAGAAGGGTGCAAGGCATCTGTTTTTCCTTCAGCAGCAGGTTTTTCAGATTGGGGCAGGTTATCAGCTTCAGCACTGCTTCCAGATGAGTCTGCCGCGTGGGCAGAGACTTCTACCTGATCCTGAGTTGAACAGCTGATGAGGTCTCTCAGGAGGGTTTTGCAGCTAACAGCCACGTCAAACATCTGCAGACTATCTGACACAAAGATGACTTTGGTGAAGTTGTGTTTCCCTGTTGGGAGCTTGCCAGTATACATCATCTCCAGCAACAATGCAAACTCCTCAGGTGTCACCACGGAAGCGTCAATGGAAATGGTGTCTGTGCTGTCCAACAAAGATTTAAAAAGCAGGCTGGCAGCAGCTAAAACAACCTTGTGTGCTCTGAAGTGAGCAGTCCCAACAAAGATGGTGCAATCGCAGAACTGCTGTTCTTTGCAAAGAGTGTACAGCTGCTGCAGCAGCTGCTTGCTGTAGCTGGGAAGTTCCATGGCTCCTGGACCTAGTGGTTTTCTCTTGCTTTGGTCTTCGCACTGCTTTCACAAGGTCCTGCTAAAGGAAAAACAAAGGATTCTGCTAGCAAAAGAAACAAAAAATTACAAATAATTCATTTGACACCTGCTGTAGTTTACTGTGCTGTAGTTTAGTGGTTGTAGCAAGAAAAAGGTTCCATTCTTAACTCTGACTCCCCAAATTCAGCAACTTACCCAATATTGTTCAATTGCAAATACTTCAGAGAGAGCTTAGGAGTGAATGCTGAGACAGGAGAGAAGAGGCTCCCTGATATAACTCACGCCATAGAGCTCTAAGAAACACGAATGCTTTTGAGGCACCACAGTGCCAGGCTTTGTCTGCATCCAGCAACTGGAGCTGATGCTGGATTCAGCAATCAGTTTCTGAAAGGGCAGGTAGGGAACCAATGCAGGAAGACCTGCTCAGACTATCAAATGCAGAGGAAAATCGGAGGTGTTGATTTTGACCTACAAAGCACTAAGTGAACTGATCGTACAGCACAGAGGCAGAAGTCCATAGGCCGAGTCTCTTCTACAATGGCATCTCTTTTCCTGTTCCTTCCTTTTTTTTTTTTCCTGTGTTGCTGTTGGGAGAAAAAAAAAAAAAATAGATCCACCAGTAGAATTTTTATCAGCAGGATATCTTAAGTTTTTTTGTCTCTGCTAGACAAGATAAAGACGTTACTGTCTCTCGTCTATACACTAGGATGCCTAACATGGATGCTGGCAATGATGCTGAAACAAAACAGCATGAGTGCTAAAGGAGGAGCACCTGGATGGACACAGTTTACACAGCCTTCAACTGCTTAGCTTCTCCTCACTTAGCTTCCTGCTCTCTCACAGAGAACAGAAATAATACTGCCCTCCATCAGGACGTGAGTTTTAATTAGCCAGTGCTGCTCATACATCACCTTGAAGCACTGCCTCACCCGTGCACAGGACTGGCCACCTGCACTTCAATCCCATTAAACGTAAGGGTTCTGTTATCCTCCCACACTGCTGTAAATCACAGGCAACCAAGTTGATGTCAGCAGAGTTGCTGGCGAACGTGGGAGAAGAAAGAGCCCCATTTCTTTTGCCAGGCTGAGTGTAATAGCAGTTTTAGTCCACCCACTCCTTGCCTGGAGTTGAAGAGCTTCCAGTATCTGAAATGAAATTGGGTCTGCTGGTTAAGAAATAATAGCTGCGGATCTTCCTACAAAAGGACAAGCAGGAAACATCAGCGCCCTGGAAGAAATTCTTGTGCATAAAACCTCTCACTTCCACGGTCTGAAGCAGCAGCACCGTCTGCTCCCTCTGTTCCTGGCAAGGGTATTGAAGATATATTTGCCCATGACAACTCAAAACAGGAAAGCTCTGAGCAGCCTAATATCACCTTGCCATCTTTATTACAATAGTTCAGAGCTATGCAAAACGTGTTCTGAGTAATTAGACCAAATATATTTGTACAAATGCATTGTATTTCCTTAATTATAGGGACCAAAATATCCAGTCCTGCCAAAGAGAATGATGATGGGTTTTTTTTAACAGGGGGGTGATTGCCAAGACCATCGTCAAGGCAACTGCCTGCTACTTATAGCAGTCTTCGAGCTTTTATTCTGAGCTGAAGGCCAGAAGGGACCACCAGCAGCAATCTGACATCTCATCTGTCACTGTCTCCTAGACTTCTGGACTTAATATCTTGGGTTTGGCTGAAGCTGCTCTTCCAGAAAGGTGCCTACTCACGATAAGAACTGATGTTTAGGATGAGAACCCTCCACTGCCATAGTGAGTCATTCTGACTTTTAAAATACATGCCTCATTTCGTGCGTGAATTTGCCCAGCTTCGTCTCCCAGCTGTCTTCTAAATGACTTTCGGGAGATTTGCCTGCAGAACTGGGCTGAACTTGGAATCTCTCTGAGAGCAGATAATACTTCAGCACCGACGAGTGCTTGCAGAGTATGAGCTATCTGCCTCTGCCAGCGCCACTGGTGAGAAAAAGCCATTTGTCACCTTTTCAGCCTAAAGCTGCTTCTCTGCATCGTCTTTGGAGTCACGCTCTAAGATAAGACCACTGCTGGCATTCTTTTTCTTTCCGGATTTCAAACTTAAAGTAAAATGTCTTAAGTTGACTGCTGCAGCCTTTGACACCTGAGCCACACAAACACTGCCCTCCTCTTCCAAAAATGTCGGCTCACTGGAGACAGAAGTGGGGGCAGAGCAGAGAGAGATGTGCTTATCTTAGCTGCCCTGCAGGCAGGCTTTGTCAAAGGATGATGAATCTTTTAAGGAAAGGTGTGACATGTCCCAGCTTACAGAGGAAAACACCAGGGCAGTTTAGTTATTTTGGTTCCACTGATGTCCAGTGAGACTGCAAAGCCAAGGAATTTGAGTCAAGTTCTGAAAAGCACTTGAAATGCTAAGGCTCCACTCAACCATATATTGATATATGTCCCTTTGTCACTGTTGGGCAGCAGCTATCACCTGAGACTGCTCTCAAGGCTGCCGCTTCGGCAAAGAAACCTCTTCTTCTGCACCTCCCAAATTCAGAACAGCAAACACTACTCTCTGTTGTCTGATGCAGCTCCTCCTTCCTTCTCCCGGGTATTTCAGTCCACAGTTGGAAAGAATCACATCTTTTTCTCTAGACTAAGGAAAGGATAAGCTGATGGCAGCAGATAGGCGCTCCAGAAGCACCCAAACGAGAACACCCCTCTCTTGTATGTAAGGCTGTGGATAAGGAATTATTCTCATTCCTTTGGAAGGTCAGAATTATAGAATCATTTGAGTTGGAAGGGACCCTTAAAGGACATCTAGTGCAGTCAGCAGCACTGCAACAATTTTACTGCCACCTCAGCCTTAGCAAAAGGAGCTTGTACACCACAATAATGCCAAAAACAATGCCAAAACTTGCCTTCTGCATTGATTTCAGCAAGACCAAATGCCAGATCCACAACAACCCCAGGCAACGCTATAGGCTTGGGGCAGAGTGGCTGGAAGACTGTGTAGAGGAAATGGACCAGGGGGTGTTGGTTGATGCTCAGTTGAACGTGAGCCAGCAGTGTGCACAAGTGGCCAAGAGGGCCAATGGCTTCCTGGCCTCTATCAGAAATGGTGTTGCCAGCAGGAACAGGGCAGTGATTGCCCCGCTGTACTCAGCTCTGGTGAGGCTGCACCTTGAGTGCTGTGTTCAGTTTTGGGTCCCTCACTGCAAGAAAGACATTGAGGCCCTGGAGTGGGTTGAAAGAAGGGCAACAAAGCTGGTAAGGGGTCTGGAGCACAGGGCTGATGAGCAGAGGCTGAAGGAGCTGGGAATGTTCAGCCTGGAGAAGAGGAGGCTCAGGGGAGACCTTATTGCTCTCTATAACCACCTGAAGGGAGGTTGCAGTGAGCTGGGGGTCGGCCTCTTCTCTCGTGTAACAGTGACAGAACCAGAGGGAATGGCTTCAAGCTGCACCAGGGGTGATTTAGGCTGGACTTTTCTGAAAGAGTGGTCAGGCACTGGAATGGGTTGCACAGGGAGGTGTCGGAGTCAAGGAGGTGTTGAAGGAACGTTTGGACGTTGTGTTGAGGGATATGGGTTAGTGAGAAACTACTGGTAATGGGTAGATGGTTGGGGTGGATGATCCTGTAGGTCTTCAACCTTGGTGATTCTGTGATTAGTAAACACCTCAGTGGCCATTACAGTGATGCAGCCCATGTCTGGGATTCTTTTTTGAGATGCACATGAAGCAGGCTTTCTTTAGATTTCAATAATAATAACGAACACTTCACTGCCAAGAAATTAAGCAATATCCCGACACAGCTTTTTAAAGGCACAAGCCCACAGCCTTGTGCTCCCTCTGCTGACAGCACCCTGCAACCAACCCAGCCTGGTGCACAGATCAGAAAAGGAAAAAGATCCGCATCCAGCTCAGAGCCAGCGCAGGAGTTAAAGACGTTGACAGCCTGGAATCAAAATCTGAATTCTTCTTGTGTGTTTATCAGCCGCCTGTCTTCTTGTTGCAAAGACGATGACCTTACAAAAAGGGTTATTAGAAAGCCAGGAAATCATGTACTGCAATTCAATTTTCTCACCTCTCCCACCAGAAGTAATTGTGTCTTTGAAGAGCTGAGGGAGGCTGAGAGGTCATTACCTTTCCCTGGGGGGCTCCAAAGGGCCAGAGCAGGCAGCACTCCCTGAGGGTAATATAAAATCCAGTCTAGGGAGCCCGGGCACACCAATTTGTTTTTCAATCTATTCTACTTCAGCACAGAGCATCAGTGCAGACAGATAAGAGGAAAACAAGCAACACTTTGACTAAATTCAGTGCTCCACGGTCTCTAAAAGCAGCAGAATATACGTCACAAAAACAAGCAACATTTTGGCTGTCTGGACTGATGCTTTACATGGAAATATAGCAGATTGAAAAACAAATAGGTGTTCTCCAGTTCTTAATAGCAAGTTTTCCATTACCCTTCAAAGCAAAAGCCCTAACAAAAGGGTGATATCAGACAATCACGAACCCAAAGCAATGGTCAAATCTTACCCTCCAATCTGTTCATCCTTATCTCACTATGCCCAACACTGAAAGCGCTGATTATCATAGAATCATTATACAGTCATGTAACTGTTGAGTTGGAAGGGACCCTTAAAGGCCATCTGGTCCAATGCCCCTGCAATGTACAAGGACACCCAGAGCTCCATCAGTGCCCAGAGCCCCTCCAGCCTGGCCTTGGGTGTCTGCAGGGATGTGACACCCACCACAGCTCTAGGCAACCTGTGCCAGACTCGTTAGTCTGAATTGTTTTGAGCTGAACGCATTGAGAGCGAATCAAGAAGCACCTGGCCTCTCAATGCTATCACCACTCTCACAGCCCCAACAGCCCTGCAGGGAAGAAGGACCTCTTTGTGGTCCGCAACCACTCTTCAGAAGAAGCCAGTGCAGCTGCCTTAAAACACAGCCAGAGAAGGATGTAGTGATATAAAAACCTATTGGCGTTTATTCAGGAAGCAAGCTTGCTTCCTGCATCTCCAAGAAAGACTAAGTTGTGGTCTGGGCTAAAAGAGATGTTTTCAGCACTTAAAAGTGGTGCATCTCATTACACCACTTTATACAGCTAATTAAGCTATACTGGAAAATGAGATAAGCCAATATGAATGGGGCAGTGCACAGGGGCTGGTGCGGCAAGATGGGAGAGGACCTCTGTCCTGGTCCTTATTCCAAGGGCTGCTTCCTTGTCATGATGTTTACAGAATCAAAAAGGTTGGAAGGGACTTCAGCCCAACTCCTGCTAAAGCAGGCTCCCCAGAGCAGTCACACTGCAAAGCATCCAGGTGGGTTGTAAGTATCTCCAGAGAAAGAGACGCCACCACCCCTGTGGGCAGCCTGTTCCACAGCTCTGCCACCTCCAAAATTAAAATATTTTTTCTGACATTCATATGGAACTTCTGGGTTCCAGTTTGTGCCCGTTGCCCCTCGTCCTGTCTCTGGGCACCACCCAAAAGAGCCTGGCCCCATCCACTTGCCTCCCACCCTGCAGGCATTTCTAAGCGTTGCTCAGATCCCCTCTCAGCCTTCTCCTCCCCACACTGAGCAGCCCCAGGGCTCTCAGCCTTTCCTCATGCAGGAGATGCTCCAGGCCCCGATCTCTCTGTAGCCCTGCTGGGCTCTCCCCAGCAGTTCCCTGTCTGCCTTGAACTGGGCAGCCCAGCACTGGGCCCAGCGCTCCGGATGTGGCCTCCCCAGGGCAGAGCAGAGGCGAGCAGAGGACAAGGTCCGCTCCGAGCCAAACCCGCACCAGCGCACAGCACTCCGCGCCGTCGCCATGGTTACCTTTATTGGGAGCAACGCAGCGAACACGGCGCGCGCCCTGTGACAGCCGCGGGAACAATAAAGCTTCAACAACAGCCGCCCCCGCCCCCTTCGGCGGCTCTACGCCGCTCTACGCGCGCCGCCATCTTGAAGCGGCTGCGGGTTGGTTCCCGCGTCACGTGACGGAGGAGTGAGCGTTGCGGGGAGGCGCATGCGCGGTTGTGTGCGCTCCTCAGGGAGGTTGGGGGCAGTGGTCTGACCCAGCCCGTGGCTCGGAGGAGGGCTCAGGATGCGTTCAGTGGGAGCTTCCACCGAACCTGTGCAGGACATACAGCTAGGGAGGACTTCAGGGCAGATAAAGCTTCCCTGTGTGTTGCACCAAATGGGGATCTTCTTTGAATTGGCTGTTGCACAGTGCCGGCTTGCACACCTTACCGCTGCAGGGTGCTCTGCGTGCAGCTCTGGCAGGGCTCTGGGTCTGTCTGAACAGGACAGGACAAATGGGTTTGTCTGAAATGGTGGAAGCAAAAGGGATTGGCCATACTTTGTGTGGAGAGAAAAAAAAAAAAGGAGAAAGAGAAGGGAAGGGAGGGGAAGGGAAGGGAAGGAAAGGGAAGAAGGAAGGTGGGGAGAAGGGAAAGGAAAGGAAAGGAAAGGAAAGGAAAGGAAAGGAAAGGAAAGGAAAGGAAAGGAAAGGAAAGGGGAAAGGAAGGGGAAGGGAAAGGAAAGGGGAAAGGAAGGAGAAGGGAAAGGAAGGGGAAGGGAAAGGAAAGGGGAAGGGAAAGGGGAAAGGAAAGGGGAAAGGAAAGGAAGGGGGAGGGAAAGGGAAGGGAAGGAAAACCATGAGACAGTGCAAATTCAGGTATTGCCATTTGTGTTTTGATGCTTGGAAGGGGGCTAACTGCTGCCATCTATTGATAGATGGAGAAGACGACCTCATGAGCCAACTCGTCCTCATGAGCAAGTGTTAATTTCTGGATAAATGCATAGGGCAGAGGGATAACAGCCTCGGCTGTGTAGCTTTGACACCAGGCTCTGTGTGAGCTGGTAAGGAGCAGCAGGTAGACAGGGATTGGGACTGTGTGTCCTGTCTGCTGTCAAGCCTTCTCCACAGGAAAGTGAATGAAATTCTGAGGTTGGCACGCAGTCAGGAAGATCATCTTGCAAACAAATGGGTATTAATTAAGAATCCATAATGTCATGATGAGATCTGCTCTGTTCTGGGGCCTCTGCACACTGTCAGAGATCCTCAGCTCCAAACGGCACAGCCTGCAGCTGGGGCCATTAGGATACAAATGGTATCGCTGCAGCCGGTTTCAAGGTCACTTCTGGAGGATGCAAGAAAGGCAGGCTTGGCTGTTTTCTTGTTGGATTACAGAGAAAGGCTCCTTGAGGAGATGCTCAGACTACAGTCCTTGCCAGCCTCGTGCAACAAGTTGTCTTTGTTAGAGCTGTCGATTCCAGCTCTGCCAGTTTTCTCACAAATGCATTTGCTGGTCATTTCATAGAACCACATTAGAATCACGTGGGCTGGAAAAGATATTCAAGGGCATTGAGTCAAACCACCAACCTGACCTAGCAAATCCCACCACTAAACTGTGTCCTTTAGTGCCACAGACACATTTCTTAAATCCCTCCGGGGATGGGGACTCCACCACTTTTCTGGGCAGCCCATTCCAATGCTTGACCACCTTCCATCCTGAGATCTAATCAATGGGGAAGGAACTTGCAGCACTGGCACTAAGAAGGCATCCAGTGATGCATGAGTGTTTGGCTTGCTATCTGTGAGCCTGTCTGTATGGTATCTGCTTTGTGCCACAGTACTTCTAGAGAACATCTGGAGCTGACATGGGATAGCAGCTTCTCAACTGAGATTAGAGAGAAAACTGAGTGCCCGTTGCTGCCCTGCTCAAAGAAAAAGTGATGAGGGGATGGCTGAAAACAGCTTTGGAGCCTCTGGTACTGAAGTGCACGTTTGGTAATACCTGATTCAAGACTGGCTGACAGGATGACAGCAGCCTGCTGACAGAGCAGCTACAGTTTCCTGCCTTGGAGGTGATGGATCGTTTGTAGAGATGACAGAGCACCACCATGATGAGAACTGATGGATGAGAGCAGCAAGTATCTGGCTTCAGAGAAACTAGACAGGCTTTCCCCAAGGGCTGAAGGAGGATGGTTAAAGGTGACAGTCCCATGCTTCTCTGGCTACAGGGACAAAAACGGACTCAGAACAACTCAGGCTTCTTCATTTGCTTGTTTCTGTCCCCTTTGCTGCTTCACTCAAACGATTTGGGGGCTGTGCATTGCAAATTAAGCCAGTGTTGTGTTTCAGGTGAAGAATAATCTCACAGAATCACAGAATTGTAGGGGTTGAAAGGGACCTCCAGAGATCGAGTCCAACCCCCCTGCCAAAGCAGGTTCCCTACAGCAGGTCGCACAGGTCAGCATCCAGGCAGGTCTTGAACATCTCCAGAGACGGAGACTCCACCACCTCCCAGGGCAGCCTGTTCCAGTGAAGAAAAAGGACAAGAAAATAGGAACAAGAACAGTATTCTAATACACCTTTTTCAATTCCCATCACAGTAGCCCTCTGTTGTCTCTTGCAAGCATCTTAACTCTTGTCCTGTAGGTCCTGGTGAGGTACTTCCCTCAAGTGCAGGAGCAGAGGTGCCTCACCAGTGAGCCTGCAGGCACAACCAAACCATGTGGCTGGCACAACTTTTGATAAGCTCGACTTTTCCAGGCAGCACAGAACCTCAAGTCTGCTTTGGCCTCCCCCAGGTCCCTTAGAGCATCTCTTGGTGACAGCTGGCACGCTGTAAGACAGAGCTGCAGCCATTTCGGCTCAGCACAGCAGGGATTTCCTTGCCTTTTGCTGATATGGGAGCAAGCTCAAGGCCGTGCAACCGCATCTTCCCCACCTCCCCCCAGTTCATCATCTCCACTGCAGTGCAGCCTTGAAGGCAGCAAGCCCTGGCTTGCGGCTTCTCCTTCGAGCGCTTGAGGGCACTGTTGGAATTTGGAACGAGGCTGATCTGTGGGGTGAAGGATTTGTTTCCTGCCGCACCGTGCAGAGGCATGTCAGGTTGCCAGGACTCCGGCACTGGCAGCCTTGCTGCTTGCAGGGGTAACTTAGGCATGCATGCGCTGTCTCAGGTAAAAACTTTCTCAGAAAATACCAGGTAATGGAGGCTTCTTAAATCTTTGTTGTTTTTTTTTTTTTCTGTGAGCATCTCTCCCTTCCACATTTAACCCCAGAGGTTAAAAGGTTCAATTTTAGGGAGAGGAGCGCGTTGCACAGTCGGTTCTTAGGAGGAAGCAGACCATAAAAAGTCAGACCACATGCAGATATGCTTCACCTGCACAGATACTGTGAGTGCTGTTCATGCATGGACTTGTGTGCAAACACAAATCTCATCGCTGTCAGCCTCCAAGGGAGCCAGCAGAGCAGGCTGTGCTCCAGGGTCAACGCTACAACAGCTCAGAAGGAGTGCACGCAGCATTCTGCTGAGAAACTGTGCCAGAGTAATTATTTACATGTGCTGGCATAAAGTAATTACTAATGGAGCAGAACACCATGCACAATCCCTCCAAGCTGTCCCAGAGGAGGCAATGGGAGGTACTGAGCAAAGTGCGCTCTCAGTGTATCAAACTTCAGATTTCCTCCCACCTCAGAGCTCACCCCTTCTCCCAGGGGAGCAGAGAAGCCGCTGTCACCCCTTCTATCCTGTCCTCTTGCCTATGCCAGCGCGATCTAGGGCTGTAGGTTGCCCTGTTACCTCAGCTAAATGACACACACAGCTCACTTTGATGAGGTCTTTTGGAGATGATGGCATCCACATTAAAAAGCTGGGACTGGGAATTGCTTTGTGCTGTTTCACTGCTGTGTTTCTCTTGTTTCTGGCACTGCTGGCACAACTGCGTGCACCCAGACCGACTTCCTAACGCCCTCAAGAACATCACACTTTCCAAGGTGCATCTTCAGCTTCTTCACCAGGTCTGTGACCTGATTCACCTCTAGAAAATCCAGTTCCCAGGTTGCTCTCATTGGAATCGCTTGTCTGGGATCTGTTACTTAAAGTGATCAGGTTTCTTCTTCTTCTTTCACAGACAGGTCAGAATTTCAGGAGGTTCTTTTCAGGATGGGACATAGCCCTTATCTTCAGCTGGGCATCAGTGTTCAGCCCTGGTGCCCCTCCAGGCATGACTTCATCCCCAGCTCAGCCTGCCTAGGCATCTGTCCATGATGTCAGCCCTTAAGTCCCAGTATTAGTGCCTGGCCTCCTTTAATCCAAACCCCACCCGAAATATAGCCCGGAACTCACCCCTCACGTGCTGTAGGAGTAGCTGCTATCTACCACACTGACCATCTGCCATCTCACCAACCTTGCAGTACAAATTAATGTCTCACCTCCAGTACCCCTTCCTGTTGGGATCTCTGTAGCATCCCTTCAGCCTCTCCTTCCAGCCTTGTTGCTTCTCTAATAAACCAAAAGACTGCAGATATGTGTGTTGTGATACAAGGCGTGACCAGCTCAACTCATACAGTCTCAGTGCTGATCTCCCAAGCCCCTCAATAGCAGCTTCTTCGTGGTGACCTGGGATCACAGGGTGTCGCACTGTGGTGAGCTGGTGGGTTCATCGCCTGCCAGAAGGCACTGAGCACAGAACAGTTCCTATCACCCATGCATTTTTCCATCTACTGTATTCCTTTCTGTCTGCTACACAACACTCAGCCAGCATGTCTCAAACACCAGCAGCTACTGCTTGTTAGCAATCATTTCTCATAACTGTTAGTCTTGTGACATTTCCTTTGTGTTAGATCTGCTTCTCTCAACTTCTCCCCTACACATTCCTCTTTACTACCTCAGAGGCTAACGCTGATGCAGACTTCCCTGCTCCAGAATCAAATATCTATTTCTTCTCCCATGTCTTAGGTAAGAACAATATCTCCGTGCTCTGGTGACAGTACCCATCAACACCTCTCTCAGCTGTTCCAGTTCTTCATACACCATTCCTGGCCTGAAGCGTCTGTTCTTCCAGAAATCATATTCCCATTTAGATAATAAAGGGTTTTTCTTTCATTATCCCATCCTTATTCCCCGTGGCCAGCTCTGCACATGGCCTTTTTTGCCTTCCATACATGTGC